GATTTAAGTTTACATTTTGTATCAAAACTCATTTAGGCTTACCTAGCAATTTTGGGTTAAAGTGAGGCATCATGCTAATTGTAAGGAACAGCACAGGTTGACTACATTAGGAAAAACAAACTAAGCTGCATGAGAACGAAAATGAAAAACAGTTTTTAAATGCTAGAGTAGGAACAAATAGATGTGCCTTGCAGTACATTCAACAGCAGTTTATAATTACCTCTCTTCAAGACATGTTTTTAGTGGACATATGACGGTAGCTTGAAGTGTAAACTAGTGAGCATTCCAGTTGTTCAGGCACAGCTGCCGAATGAAGAATGAACCGCTCTGTGGAGGAAGGGCATAGTCCATGAGCAAGGATGCTGCTATGCATTAGTCCTTCAGACTGAAGTCAGCCACGAGAAACCTGGGATCACGCAGGCTTGTTTGTAAAATATTCACATCAGTTAATGCTTGACTGACAGGTTGGCCCAAACATTTGTGTCTAAAATAACCCAATCAATTCAGGGTCGGAAATCCAGGTTCAACTCAGTTAAATCCTTGGGGTCTCTCACAAGGCAATAGTGAGCTCTAGGCTTAGCTGAGAAGGATCCATTGTCTTACACACTTACAGGATTGTTAGCAAGATTCAGTGCCTTGTGTGTTGTTTTCTAAGGATCATCAATTCTTTTTTGTTCTCTTGGTTGAAAGTCTCCCTCAGTTGTGTGCTGCATGGGCCTCTCCATGAGAATCGCACAATGTGGGACACTGCTTCTGGTACAAGAGAATATAGCAAGAAAGAAGCCACCAGCTTTCGAAATGTAATCACGTAACTGTCGCTGTATTCTGCTCTTTAGAAGCAAGACACTAAACTCAGCCCACCCTCAAGGCTAGAACATTACAGAAAGGAGATGGGGCACTGGGGAATTGCATCCAAGTAGAATGGGAGCTTTGGGAGCCATGGCAGAAGCTGCCTACATTAGGCATGATGAATGAATGATAGCCTCACAGTAGTCTGGCATGTGAATATCACAAGTATTTGTCATGCTAAATACAGCTTTAGAAGTACTAATTGGAGGCTATGAATGTGGTCTCTCTTGGTGTCACATTGAACAAGTGCTGAGTCAAGCTTCCTGAGCCCCAAGAGACCAAGAGAATGAGGTTGTAAGAATGGTTGAAGTTAGGTCCCAAGGTCATGACACAGAATGAAGATAGGCGTTTCCATGGCGCTATTAGCATGCTTCAAGGCTGTGACTGGTACTGTGCAGCTCACTGGGGAATAGGGCCCGTGTAGAGACTGTAATGTTATTGCTAAGATGATAGAATGGGAAGTTTTGCTTGTTTCCGTGACCCCCATCCCTACTCCCAACTTCCCAACTCCAAATGCACGAATGTACATTTTCATCAGCAAAATGAGTAAAAAAATGTAATTTATGTTGCAGAGCCACTGTTTAAAACTCTTCATTTTAATTTGATTTTTTTTTCTTAGAAAATCTGTATACCTTTATATGAAGAATTTAGGTTTTCTTTACCTGTTCAGGTGACTATCTCTTATTGATTGCCATATCATTGATTTGGGAGTTTAGGGATGAATGTTTAAATTCTTTTGTTCTCTTTGTCACTGACTGACTTCTGGAGTAGCTGATAGAAGTCCCTCTGAGAAACATGTCGAGGACATCGTAACACTCTCTGGCAAAGCAGGCCTAGCTCTTCATCTGAACCTTGGTTACCACCTGATCACTTCAGTGCCCTAAACCATAGTTCATATGTATGTACCAGCTGGAATGGGTTGGTTTTTAGCGCTGACTACTAATTTTCTAAAGAAAAAAAGCATAAGATATTATACATGTATATATACTGTATTTGTAAAATGATGTGTAAGCTTTCTTTTCACTAAGATAAGGTTAATGGTAGTCCTTAGACAGTGTGTTTGCCCAGAGTTAGAGGCAGTGACATTACCTGCTTCCCAGCAGAGTCCAACGTTTCACACTCTCACTTCCATCTTTTGCTTATAAGTGACCCTGACCTCTCAGGATCACTTATTTTTCCTACATATACTTGTGGGAATATTATATGTTCCAATTACTGTGTTATTTTGTGGTTTTGGTGTCAATTCTCTGCCTTTTGTTTATTTATGACTAGTAAAGCATCTTTAAAAATATTTAGTATTTTTTATGTGTGTGGGTATATCGCCTGCTTGTGTGTTAAGTACACTGATGTCGTACAATGCCTGTGGAGGTTAGAGGAGGGCATCAGATCCCCTGGAACTGGAGATATGAATGGCTGTTAGCCACTATGTGGGCACTGGGAACTGAACTCAGGTCCTCTGCAAGAGCAGCCGGTGCTCTTTACCACTGAGCCACTTTTCTAGCTAGCTTGGAATTTACTGTGTAGACTACTAGACTAGCCTTAATCTCACAGAGATTCACCTGCCTCAGCCTCCCAAGTGTTGGGATTAAAGGCTATACCTGGCCGTAAAACAGTTTTTAAAATTACTTTGTTTATGGCTGGAGAGATGGCTCAGTGGTTAAGAGCACTGGCTGTTCTTGCAGAAGACCTGGGTTCTAATCCCTGAACCCACATGGCAACTAGCAACCATCCATAAGTCCAGTTCCAGGGGATCCAACACCCTCTTGGTATAAAACTGTATTTTTCTTTTTAAAACTTTAAGAAATGGAATTTTTGGTTTCATAGTTTGTTTCAGTGTGGCAAATAAGGAAGTCAAGTTACTCCAACCTAGCAAGGGTCACTTTTCAGGCTGATCATGTCTTAGACTTTATGAGCTGAGACCAGAGATGATAGAGTCAAGCCATTTATGGTAATTTGTCTATGAACTCACAGGTCACATTATATATGAATATTCTTTATTCACAAATTTCTAAGGATTAGAGTATAAGAATTGGACTATTTCACAAGGCACCAATTTTCTTGTTTTTGCTATAGCTTTTCAGGTGATAGATGAATAAATAATGAGGAAGACTGATGGGAAAGAGACTTTTTGTTTTATATTTCCTATGCAGTATCTTTAATTTGCAGAAGAATATTGTTTATCCAGTAGTTAAAACTCATGTCCCTGTTTGTGAGTTGGTGAGACAACTCCCTAGTTGTTCCTAGATATCTTATTATTTGCTGCTGTTCAGTTACTCCAATAATTGCTTGATAATTTAATGTCCTGGATTTAGTTTTCCTTAATGGAAATCTGAAAGACCTCTGTTAAATCCAAGAAGCTCTCACAAAAACAATTAAACATGTAATCCTGCTTTAAGCCTGCTTATCTTGAAGTATCATGTGTAGAATCAGTTATTTGCATGTGGCGAGTCAAGTTCACGGGGTTTACAGTGAGTTCATGTCAGCTCAGAGATCTACAGAACAGCGGAAATATGCATGTGTCACTTTTCCCACACCTCTCATGAATAAGGCTCACTCCCTCAAGAACCCATGGTTTTTGTAATGAACTGGAGTCACCTACATGTACTGTATTTGTGACATGCACATTTGCAGTTGGGGTCCACAGGAAGGACACCATTTCCTGGATCAAACCACAGAGTGCAAATATTGTGCCCTAAATAACACACTAGTTACTGTAAATGTCAGTAGAGGGAGTTTTCCTGACTTTGATTTAATGAAAGCCTACAGCAAAGCCAGCTGTTAGCACTTCTTAACTGCTTGTCAGGGGGACCAGGAGAGAGACAGAGGGCTGCAAACATCTTTTCTCTATATTTTTGTCTTAAAATTAAGAGTTTCAACAGGTGTTAAATAGTGACACTGGAGGTTTTTTACTGCCTGACATCTCTTTAACTGATGCATAAGTTCTTCTCTAAGAGATACGCATAGTTCCATAAATAAGGAAGTCTGTGTTAAGGACTTAGGAGTTTGACTCCTTCCATCCCAAAATAAGCAGTTTTGCTTTCTGAGCTCCCTAGGAAGAATAATATAAAAATCACAGAAAGAGAAAGCACGTGAAATGCTGGTTGCCCCTTTGTCACTTTTAGTATTACCAAACTAATTTTAAGCCATGTGCGTTTTGATTGATGTCATCTGCTTTTCTGAACAAAGAAACCACTTGAAGCAAATACACAGGGAAAAAAGTATGCGGCTTTCATTTCTGTGATTTTTGTCATTTCTAGAAAGCATTCGTAAACACATGTGGTTGTTAAGGGTCTGACCACCCTTCAAAATCCTTTTGACTTTACTCTGTGAGTACTGAGCAGAGATAATCTTAAAAAGTAGGGAAAGTTTACGATCTTATTATCTTGAAGAGGAGAAGAAAGTTTCTTCCTCAAATGATTTATAACTTGGAACATGTTGTCATGTTTTAGTAAACCCACTTTATTAATTCCATCCTTCTCTGTGGAAAATTAAAAGAAGATAAATGTACCATTGCAACACAGTACTTTCTCAATAGCATATTGTGCTTATAATAGCATGATGGGAGTTTCTGGGCTCGGTTAGTCATATAGAAAGTGCAGCCAAATTCTGAGTAAAACCTCTAATTGAATTACCTGCAGAGCACTGACAGACAGGCTTTCAGGATGGACAAAGCTCTGCTTTCCTGGAGCAGAAGTAGGTCATGTTGAAGTCTGCCTTGTAACTGTCTGTTACTGGTGTTGCCAGCACTCTTCTGGGGCTTCTGCTGGGCCCTTTCTCCTCCAGTTGAGGAGCGGCTCATAAAGCAGGAGGATTCAAGCATTAGCCTCTTGATTTAAAGAAAATTGATAACAGATCAACCAAAAGGAAGTGCCTTTGAAATAAAAGTCCTAAGCATTTTTCTATAGATTACCCACATTCTTCTATGATTCTTCCTTTATTGTACTGAAAAGAGAAGATGGGGTATGAAAGTAGCCTTTTTATAGCAGTTAGCTCAATCTGAAAAGTATTGTTTGTTGTGATTTCTGACAAGAATTAGAGTATGTGCCTGTTGTTCCTGAAAGAGAATGTATTGTGGACCATTTGCATGTGAAAAGCAAAGAATAATGGGTTGTTGTTTTCTTCTTTTTTCTTGTTCTCTCTCTTATCCACAGCCTCTGCAATCCCAGACAATGGAAGACGGTCCTGCCTAAAGCTCAAAGTCTTTGTGAGACCAACAAGTAAGTTCACTAGCGTGAGCTTCAGAGGGTCCCTTCACTGCGCATGCTTTATCCTGTGGTCTGGTACACAGTGGTAACCCCCCACCCCTTTTAATTGTTAAATCTCGTGTGGTATCTATTTTGTTCATCAACATTCATGTTTTAGTTTTCATCATATTTTTTCTCATCAGTCTCCATGTTGCTTTGATTGTATTTATAAATACATAGCAGTTGCTAACTTGTTTCTTAGACTGTTGTACATGCACAGCAAATGGGAACAATACTGGCATCTGGATACATGCCATTGATTGTAAAAGGAAAAAATGGAGAGAAAGAAAAAAAAGAAAGGAACGGGAGTTTAAGGGTGTCTTCACTAACATATTTGGCTGTTATCTCTATTTTTGTTATAGACAGCTGTATGAAAACTATAGGTGTTCATGATCGTGTTTTCGATGTTAACGACAAAGTAGAAAATTCATTAGAACCAGCAGGTTAGTATGCTTAGAGAATTTCTTTTAACAAATGCATCTATCTCTCTGGTGCTTCAGTACTTTTTTTCCTTTCTTCCTCTCTGCATGTTTGCATGTTATAGTCGTTTCTGCCTTTGCCCATTGCTACCAGTTTGCTAATATTACTTATATTCTATCTCATTCCTTCAGTATCTTTGTGTAATGCATGTTAGATAGACTACAACTTTTCTTTTTTGGACATGGGTTTCATTGGATGCAGTATTCTAATATAGAAGCCCCATCAGAATGCTAAAATCTCACTGCCTTTTGCCATATCCTCAGAGCATGTTGGTGGATCACTATGAATATAAAGAATTGGTTTTCATACAAGACAGAGAATATTTCTACCATATACGTTTATGAAACTTTCTTCTTCACGATATCCAAATCCATGGATAAAGGTAGTAAGATCAATGTACAAAATAGTGACCAGTTCAACGTATTTAGTTCTCTCTAGAAATTCATAGGCACCATGGAACCTATCTGAAAATACTGCATTTTATTTCAATATTATTTGTTTGTGCTGTTGTCCATAGCAGTTGGTCTGGAGATCTATAATCATGCTGCCACCACAAATTCACATACTTGCTGCTTCCACAATATACAGGAGGCTGTTGAGCCAAAATGGAATTATTGAATAAAAAGACAAAATAACTTTTAAGGATAAAGAAATTTTTTCTATTACTTTCACACACTCAAGGTTCCCCATCACTGTGATGGAAAATAAAACCCTCAAGAGTATTCACTTAACCACTGCCGCTGTAGCACACTGTGGATTATGTAAACCTATAAACACATCCATTTTGTTATCATTTTAATCTGGCTATTGAATGAACCAGACCCACTGAGATGGGTGGCAGTCCTCTACCATGTGGAAGTCCCCTGTCTTCCTTTCTTCAGTCCACCTGCTATCGATCTTAATGGCTTTCTTTATCCATCTCCCATGATCATCTCAAAGCATAAGAGAAATAAAATTATTCCTTCTTCACAGAGAGATTTGAGCCCCCTTATGTAAATGGAAATTTTGTTCTGTTTTATTTGATAGTAGGACTTTTCTTTTTTATGGTCCTAGAAATTAAAGGGTTTTAAAGTCCACTTTATCCTCTGAGTATTGTTACAGGTATAACAGTCAATGAGCCTTAGGGAAACTTATCCTGAGTAAGTGCTGTGCCTCAGGACATACAGTGGCTTTCAGGTTGTAGCTGACAGGAGGAATTAGAGTTTTCCCCAAGCATTCTTGCTGTTTTAAGGCAGGCATCTCACCCAGAGCACATATAAGAGGTGGGTACAATGAGTTTTGAGAGGCCTTAGTGGTTCCCCAGGGATCTGTTAGCCGCTTTAGAAAGTAGCAGGGAATGAGTGCTGATGTGGAGACATTTTAATTGTGTCCTGGAAAACTGGAAGCATTACTGTGAGTTTTCAAGGTACCTGACTCCAAGCTCGAGGACATGACTACCATAGGGACGGCAAGTTAAAGAGGCTCTCTTTCAGGACTACAGAATCTTCACTCTTCTTCCTATGTCTCAGACCTGCCCAGGCCACTCAACTTGCTCGGCAGAGCCAGGCTTAGTGTTCAGATCTCTTGACTCTTATTGTTTGGATAATAGTATTCTCTTACTACTTGAGGTATAAATGTTCAGAGAAAAGACTTAACTTTCTTAGTTTTGCTAATAAGTCTTGAGTAGAATACACAGTAAAGTTAGGTCTGTTTTAAAGGTGCTTAGGAATATGATTTTTTAAAAAAATTTATTAGTTTTGTGTATATCAGTGTTTTGCCTGCATGTATGTAAGTGCACCATGTGTGTGCAGTGCCCATGGAGGTCAGCAGAGGGCATCGGGTCCCCTAGAACTGGAGTTATAGATGGTTGTTAGCTGCCATGTGGGTGGCTGGGATACAAATCCAGGTCCTCTGCAAAAGTAGCCAGTGCTCTTAACTGCTGAGCCTTCTCTCCAGCCCTGAGGTCAATGATTTTTGATATGCATTCCTCGGGATCTTATTTTCTAGGTAAAGTCCATTGCCTCTGTTGAGAGCAGGAGTCTTTCTAGAAATACAGCAGTTGGCATGTTTTTCTCCCATAACAAAAAGACACACTGAGGCCTATTCTGCTTTTAAGAAAATCACCTTTGAGTTCAACTAATGATAAAATGCAAATTTTAAGAAGCTTTCATACAGAAGCATATTTTGGTGTTGTTGAAGAAGCAAGCTCTTTCTCAGAGCACATAACTCACAACAACCCCAAACCTATAGGTATATAACTGATAAAAGTTTAACAGAGGCAGTGGAGTATGCGTGTATATTTGTGTGCACTTGTACACACATGAGGGGAGTAGAGTGTAAGTCTGCAGGCAGAAAAGGCGCTTGAATCATGGCTGTATTTAAGAGCTTGCTGGTAAACATCCTCACTAAAACAGTGAGGCAAGGTTGAGCCAAGATGCCTGGCAGTATAAATACGGTAACGACATTGAGTGCTTTACTTTATTTTCCTAGCAAATTCCCTCAGACTTGAAGCTCTTTTACCAGCGTGTTGACTGCTTGAATTAACAAATGTTCTCCTTTAGCCAGCTCTGGGTGTACACACAGGCTTCAGGAATCCAGCGAGCCTGGAAGGATTCCGCTGCATGTTCTCAGCAATGCCTACTAATTCACCTGTCTGTGGAATGCATTTGTCTGTGTTGTTTGCTTGCACACTCTGCCTGCCAGTTTCCTATCATCAGGGATGCAGGATGATCTCAGGGCAGACATATGCCACATTACATGCTCCAAAATACCACGAGTGTTCTCAGTTAACCATCGAAACCTCTGTGTGGTGAACTCCTGTAGCTAGAAGACAAGACTTGATTTGGCTCCTGAAGAGGAATACTTTCTTCTTCCAAGCCACACTCACAATTACAAGTATTAATAACTCTCATATGTAGGTTTAATTTAGGCTGGGATCAATTTTGCTTATGAGTTTCAACTTAGAATTCTGAAATTTCCCAAACTTACCCAAATGATAGCCAGTGTCTCATTTCATGCTGGGGGGAAGGGAGTGCATACAATTCCCATCATCGAGGCTTTGTTTGAATCAAAGCATACCTTGTACGCAGTGGGTTTTCCCATTTGAGGGAAGCACAGTGCTTCCAAAAGAGTGAATTCCAGAGATTATCAGTGATGAGAGAATTCAAAGGTGCATTTGGCCTTGTGCTTCACTTAGAAGGAAATCAAAGCCTTCCTTTCAGTTATTCTCTGAGATTCATTCCCTGTCCCTTGTGCTGAGTGAGCCTGGAGTCATGGCTAACCTTTGCTGAGCATCTGGAAGGGATGAGAGGCAGCGATGCAGTGCCTTTCACAACTACCCTGGGTACCTAAGTGCTGCCTGGGCGACTGTTAGCATACATTCCCAAGCTCTATCAGGTAAAAGACTGACTAATATGTTACTGGGGAAAAGGTGGAGAAGAACCCAGTAGGTGATGTAATTTCAGGTGTATAAATATAAGTGATGTTTCTAAATGAACTCTGGAATCCTCAGGGTTTATGACTCTTTCATAATTAAGCCTGAAGAACTCCATTGTTTTGATTGACACCATATTGTTGCTCTTAAGAATGTGATTTGGATTTTAATTTCAAGGCTATTAAGAGCCTTCACTTCTGCCTCCTGTTAACTACAGACTTAATTAATACATTAGCAAGGCTGAAAAAGAGCAAAGAAAAGATGAGCTACATGTTCCTGGCTACACGTGGCAGGATCTACCTTGCCATTCTTGGTTCCTGAACTTTTCTAGTCTTCTAAGCTAAAACTAATCTACTCAGGTTTGCTAAAGTCCAGAAAGGGAGAACACTTTGGACAAAGAATGCAGCTGTCTGAGGACCTGTTGAAATGATAAGAGCCCTCCAGGGCAGAAGACTCAGTGCTGAGAAGACAGGTTTCTTAGATCAGATGGGAAATGAATGAGATGAACAGAACCACCCAAAAGTGTATCTGAAGCAGGAACAAATGAGTTCCCATCAGTACAAATAACAGGGAGAATGACTCTCCCCAGTAGAAAAAGCCTCCTTATCATAACCTGTGTGCTAGGAAAATAAAACGGAGTTTGAAATAATGGATGATTATCCCATAAAGAGCCACAAGGTGGGTCACAGAAGGATGTTAGGGATTATCTTGTGAGGTCTACATAATTGAGAACAGCTCTTAGAGACTCACTTGTTACTGTTCTCCCTGATTACACAGTCAGCAAATCCCAAGTGGCAATTCCCAAGTTCCCACGGGAAGTTTTTCTGATGCCAAAATGAAATCTACATGGAGGCCAACTATTAACCCCAGGAACATGTCCGGAGGTCCTCTGGGCTAAAAACACATGCTAGGCCAGGTGGAAGGAAGGAGATGGGCCACATTAGAGACTAGCATGGCTCATGGGCAAGCCTCCAATCTATCTTTGGGCACTAATTACTGAAAAGTTCTCATTTCGAAGTTAAGCCTGTTAATCATGCAGATCAGGGAGGCTATCCAAAGTCAGAGGCAGCCTCGTAGAACACTTTATAGCTAAATAAAAGAAGCTTAACTCACTTAATCCATTTTATTTAGAGGAAAATTTGCATCCACACTGATAATTTATGTGCCAAGCTTCAGCCCGATAAAAATAAGAATAGTCAAGTTCAAGTAATTTAATCCTGGAGATGCAGGACCTATAATAGAAACAGCACTATAATTGATTCCTAATTGTAGGCAGCCCAGTGGGTACAGGATTTTTGAAGTTTACTAGGTATTATATACAGTGTATTTAAAATACTCTTGTTTTGCCGTTGGATTTTTTCATATTTGAAAATTCACGTGGGCACCAACAACCAAACATTCAACACTAATCCCGTGAAATGGCTACAAAGAGGACTGAGCAGCCCAGCCTGGTTAACCACTAATATGCCAACATAACTCATTCCCCACCCCTCCCATGTGTTGCTTTCCTCTCCATGGCACTGCAGATTTGAAAGGTGCATTTGATATCTGGCGACTGTGCAAGGTGTGTCCGAGTGCTAGCAAGTCAAAGTAGCTTACACAGCAAAGGTTACAGCGGATGCACGGTTTTCCCCCTCAGTTTTAAGGGCAAGTACTAACATTGTGGGGAAAGTCTAATTTTCTCTGCTTCTCCTTTGTTTGCTGTAAATAATGAGTGATTATGCAGACATGAAAGTCAATGGTGGCACAAGGTTCATTACCCTGCTTTGCAGAGGGTGGCGAGGTCTGTTAACAGCAGGCTGCTGCAAGAGAGTTATTAAGGATGTGAAATCTCATTGGAATGTGTGCTTTCTATTTGAACAGATGACACCGTACATGAGTCAGCCGAGCCATCCCGCGGCGAGAACGCGGCACAGACACCACAGATACCCAGCCGTCTTTTGGCAATCCTACTGTTCCTCCTGGCGATGCTTTTGACGTTATAGCACAGTCTCCTCCCGTTACCTGTCACAGAACACCAGAGATCCACCTAACTGCTCATCCTAAGAACGGACTTGTTATTGGTTTTTGGCAGATGTCAGATTTTTGTTTTCCTTCCTCCAGCCTGATTTCTAAGCAACAATTTGGGGGTCGTTGGGGGTGGGTAGCTGAACTAGTTGCTGCCTTCTTCACCTCACCCCCAGACCCTGTCCTTGACTTCTCTCATCCCTTCCAAATTAAATGGACTCCAAATGAAAATGCCAAATTGTGGTAGTGACACCAGTGGGTCTTCAGCTCCTGTGCATTCTCCTCTGAGCTCACTTCTGTAAGCTCACGGTGTCTACCGTGTATGGACAAGGAAAAATAGTGGCAGACGCTGCCAGTGACGGCCAGGCCCGGGAGGGTTTCCCTCTCCTTATACAATATTTATGCCTTCTCATTCAGGACTGTAAGATAATTGTGCAGGGCATCATGCCACATGTCAGGTCCAGAGAGGCGGTATTAAGAACAGGCATAATATCACACCATTTCCTGTAGGAGTGTATCAATGAACAGACTTCTAAAAGGTTGAGACACTGGGTTTTTTTTTTGTTTTTTTTTTTTGTTTTTTTTAAAAATATGACTGTCTTAAAGCTTTCTTGACAGCAAAATTGCGCCTTGTAAAGAAGACTTTTTCCCCCTAGGAGGTGGAAATGCTAACAGAGCAAGTGTGAAAACAGAGAAAACTATGTTTGGTGGGGGTGTGAGTGCCTCTAATTTTTTTAGTGACTGGGCAGTGCACACCAGATTTGTTTTTTTTTTTTTTCTTTTGAATACAGATCACCATGGTGCTACAACTTTTTTTTCTTTTTAGGAACTCAAAGAGGCATTTTTATGAATAAAGTGACCTTCCCCAAGGCTGACAAGCCAGGGTTGATGAGTACAGAGTGGAATAGCTTTGGCTGCTCCTCTGGGGGACAATATGTACAAGGAAAGGAAGTCCGTGGCCAGAGGAAATGCGATTAGGCTTTGCTGGAGCTCCAGTGTGCTGTGGCCTTTCCCCAACTCCCACCCCAATGCCCACGTTCTGCTTCATGCTCCATGACCACAGGGGACTCAGACACAAGCCCCTGTCACCAGGAGAGTCAGTCAGCACTACTTGGGAGGGCTAAAGGGAAATTTGGAATAAAAATTCCAAAGTTTGGAATAAAAAATTCAAGTGTTGATTTTATATTCTTTCCCTTTCTGACACAGCCTAAAGCGTAGGGGGAACACGTGTTTATCTGTGGGAGATAAACAAGATGGAGTCCCAAAGACTTTAACAAAATATTTTTTTAAAGATCCACTAGAATAGAAAATACATTATTTAGATATACTTTATGCTGAGAGTGAGTATATATGCTTGTCCTATTTAAACTTGTGAGAAAAAGTGGTATCCCTTGATACATTTAGAAATATGGGGGGTTATCTCGTTTTAATTGTAGGGGTGGGGCAGGAGGAGAATAAACACAGGATGACCCTGTTTAAAGAATCTTAGCATGGCCAATGGGGATGTTTCCAGCTAAGAACTTGGAAGCGTAAGCCTTGGGGTTTCTCCTGGCAGGGCATTGTCATGAACTTTAAACCCCAAAGCCTAGACAGGGAGAAGTGTCAGACCAATGGAAAAGCAATCTAATCTTTTTGCTATTGCACGACATCAGTGGAAACCATGCCTTTCAAAACAAGCAAGTCAATAAATGCAGTGATCATACAACATGTGGAAAATTGAAAGCATTCCAGAAAAAAATAAGGATTTTTATGTATTCATTTTTAAGATGCATATGTAAAAAAATAGAGGGGTTCACATTATAGATGGACTTCATGAATCGGAAATTGCTTAGAATTGTGAGTAGTTTCAAATTAGAAAAATATGTGAATGGAAGGCAGCTGTAAATGTATTGCACCCTAGAGAGTTGTACACACGTTAGAATGTAAGCTGGGCTTACCTGGTCCGTTTGGAGTGGATTTGATTGCTGAGTCTGCTTTCACTTGAGCCATAACAAGTGGGGTTGCCAGCCTTGCAGAGATAATTGGTCCTCTTCCCGCAACATCAGAGACTTCTCTGAGTGGGAGAGTCTCATCACAGAAGGCACCCACCATTTCACTGAAACGTTCACAGCATTTGATTCTTTTACCTTTATTTATATGCTCAATACTCTCAGTAATATCCAGATACACTATTCTTTTTATTGATAGTTACAAGCTTGTGTGTTTGAGGGATTTGGGTAGGGGAATAAAAAGTTACCTTCTAAAATGGATCGATAGTCAGAACCAAAATAATACTGCATGCACTACAATCAAAGAAATCAAATGATCCTGTAATGATTCCAGTTAGTCATAACTACATTAGCAGTGCTAATTTCATTTTAGAAATGGTGACTTCTGTGGTTTTTCTAGCATTCGTTTCTAACAAATGATGAAATAATAACTCATGGCCCCTCTGTCATTGTCCTTCATTTTTCACCATGAAATTAGACCTTTTACTTGACTGTTGAGCCACCACAAATTGAGTTTTAAAAAAATAGCAAGATTATCCACACTAGTAGACAATATGCGTCTCTACCTGTAAGTGATGTAATCGTAGTTAATGCACTTGTGTGGAGTGTTCAGGATGATTGGTGTCAGACAGTTTTTATCTTGTCCAAAAAGCGCTGGTGGCCTTTTGTGGTTGTGTTACAATCCTCTGGGGGCTTAGGAAGATGTCGATGCAATTTTGTAGCAGATTTAATTTTAAAAACAATTCAAAAGCCTGAGGGGCAGCCCTGATGCTCTTCGGCCCCAGTTGGTCAAATCCCAGTGACCTTTGCCCCTGGTTGCCAAGGGCTTTGCAACATGAAGCAGGGAATAAAGATTGTCTGTTTAGTGGATACTGTGTATCCTTTAATAGACCAGGTAACAGTTCGTGTTAGTTTTAGACTATTGTTTTGTACTGTACTTTCTTGGGTGGCAGAGGAAAGAAAAGTTAAAACGTTAAAAAATACCTGCATTCTTTAATTCTGTATTATTAGCAACCTCTGTTGTATATAGTGTTTGATAATAAAGTATTAATTTGATTCTTATGTCTTTTGTAAGTGAGAAAAATAGACTTTCAGCATATAAAATGTGCATTGAGGCTTTGAAACATCCAATGTATACATGGCTGAGAAGTCACAAGACACACTGCTCCATACTGGACTTGTGTGATCATTGCCCACCCAATCTTACATCTCCATCATCTTGGACCTGAAACAACAGGACTGCGTTGATCAATATTCTGTCCTCAGTGTTTTCGAGGTCTGATGTTGGAGCTCTGTGGTCCTTCCCCAACCCCAAGCATGTGGTTTGAAAAGGTTTAGAGAACTTAGAAATGGTTCTGTACTTTTGTTTGGTTTTCTGTTTGTCGGTTTCCCCCAGGAAGTCTTGTCGGTATCAAGTGCAGCTCAGACTTGGGATGGTTGAAGACCATGCCCTTTAGGAAGGCTCAGTGGGGCTGTTTCCCTTCTGTGTCGTTGTAAAAGGAAGAGTCACAGTACCTCTGGGTTTTCAGGGACTCTGTTTTTCTCTGGTGCCTTAGCAACGGCTGCAGCCATTTTTATTAGTTTCAAAAATTTAGAAAAGCAGTTTTAAACTCCTCCTTTCATTCATTGCTCTCAGAGTTGTGGTCACCGGCTTTTCTTCTGGAAAACCACCTCCACCAACACTCCCGTTTGCTTGCCCCCTACCCCCACCATCTTTTTTCTTTTTCTTCTTCTTTTTTTTTTTTTTTTTTTTTTTTTTTTTTTTCCCGTTCACAACCTCCCCTCCCCCCCTTTTTCTCGCCCCCCCCCCCCCCCCCTTTTTTTTTTTTTTTTTTTTTTTTTTTTTTTTTTTTTTTTTTTTGTCTTTCACCCTCCTCCCACGTTCTGTTTTCCCTCAGAGCCGTAAATGGGCAGGTCTGTCTCTGGTTTGGCATCACTGAGTTTTTCCCATGCATTTGCCCCAGAGCTGCTCGGATGTGAGACAAATCTCCCTACAATGGGCTTGCTCCATTGTCTGTACAGTTTAATAGATGCTGGCATGTTGGAGGTTACCCATGAGTCAAAATCCGCTTTCCATGCTTACTCTTGACACCCCATTGAAGCCACTCATTGTGTGTGCGTCTGGGTGTGAAGTCCAGCTCGGTGTGGTCCTGTGCTTGTACTGCCCTGCTTTGCAGTTCTTTTGCACTTACTTGTTGAGTGCTGTTTTGAAATGCTGACATTATATAAACGTAAAAGAAAATGTAAAAAAATAATTAAAACACACACAAGCAAACCCATACGATCTGTATTTGTATATACACGTGTCCGTACAAGTATACCTAAATAAAAATTAAAGATTTTCATCATTTTAATTGGATCCCTCCTTCTACTTCTTTGTTCCTTGAATGATGCCTTTATTCCAGGGGCTACTTGTACTCTGCTGATTTTTCAAAAATCTTTGTGGGCAGAAAAGACAATATGACACACACACAAGAGAAGTTCTGGGAAGCTCAAAGAATGCAGGGTAAAAATGCCCAAGTATCTAGGCACATTCCACCTATTCTGATGAGAAAATAGATTTCAGCTTTTTCTGCATTTGAGCCTTAGCATAGGAACTAAGGCAAGCCCTGCATCCTAAAATGACAGGAACTATACACAAATTATATATTTTTTTACTTTTCACATTTTTTAATCCCATCAAGAAAAAGGCCAAATAAGTATTTTCCTAGCAATCATCTTACACTTCAGAAAATAATAATAATAATAATAATAATAATTTTAGTATAACCCTAAACAATTCTCACTATCAAGGAATTAATTTATATAGTGTGACCATGGGCTAATCATAAGATATCTATAGGACTCAGTTTTCCTACCTGTAAATGACAAGGTTGTAAAAGCGATTTGTTTTTCTTTGAATTTCTGCCCTTGAGCAATGCAAAGCCCATTTTGCATCTGAGGGATGCAGGTTTTATTTAGTCTTTGATGATGATATTGATAAAAACAACAGTCATGGAACTTCACCTGTAGAATGAGAAAGAACAAATATGTGGCATAGACATATAATGCATTTCAAGACATGGCTTTAATTACATTATATTAACATTAAATTCATCAGAGCTTTTTATTATACTTAGTTATTTGGCAGGGCACTAAAACTAGTAACTTAGCATACCTTTTTTTCTTTCTTTCTTTTTTTTTTTCTAATGAAGAATGACAGCTTTATAGAATGAGAAATAACTCACTTTTTTTTTTTTTTTTGTAATGTACTGGACTACGTATGTGACATTTCTAACCAGAACAGCATTACGTTATCATTGCCATCTTCACCATTATCATTCAAAACATTAAAGATCATGACATCATGTTCAGTCAGTGCTGCACAGAATGATCCTTACAATCTGTACTTTCCAAGGCAGACATTATGTGTAAGCATAACAGTAATGACTTATAGAGCATAGTGTAAAATGCAGGCCTTTTATACCATGCATAAATAAGAAGAAGAGAGTAAGAAAAATTGGGGTTTTTTAAATTAGGAAACTCAAGTTGAAAGAAATCATCTAAAAAGCAGTCAAAACGTTAGAAGCGCCTTACAAAATCAAAAACTTGGCAAGTTTAAGCCATTGTAGGTTTTAAGATAGTGAAATGCATGGAATAACTTTTCATTGTTGCTACAAAGGTGACTGTGAAAATGAGAAAATCCAGTACAAAACATGAGTGTCACCGAAACAAATTTTGAGGATGTTGATCCAGAGAAATCACCATTTCTTCCCCTAAGAACGTAGGGGAAGTGAAAAAAAGACCATTTCAGATTCTATTTTATGGAATGAGCATACAGCTGCTCCTGAATCCAAGACTATATCTACACTAAATAGTGACTTGTATAGAATCTCAGGGAAGTGTACACATGACCGCATGTGAGTGCACATGTGCACATACACATGGTTAAGAGAATAGGACAAAGTACAAAGCATGCAAAAGTGAGGGATAAGGTAACTTGATAATGCTATGAGCTCCAGATGACACAGTTCTCAGTAGACAGTTGCCCATACTCATGGTAAAGCAACCTGGACCAGTGATGATGAGACATTGAACAGTGTTTCAGAAAGCACACTTAGATTTTCCCATAAAGCATTTGGAATTTGGTGTCATCAGATGTTTTGAAGAGAAGGAATCATAAGGGATATTTCAGTGTCCAGATTTTCATACATTTTGTGAATAAAACATAAATACATATTAGAATCTCACATCCCAGAGGACAAAATAGTATCATAAAGTGCTATAAAAATTCAAGATATTTCTGAGAAATTGTGCATTAATTACAACATTTTTGTAATAACTGCAAAACAGAGATATTTTTAGTTTCAGATTCAACTAATATATCACCATCCTTTAGGGAAAAATTGGCAAAAAAGCTATAGAAAGCATTATGATTTTCTTGTTGGAAAACAAATATCCTAAAAATCATAATGAGGCCAGCATTCTCTGTCAGTTTTTAATGTGATATGTTGCGTTTTATCAAGTTGTTCAGTGACTAAATACACATGTATGCCTATTTTTAAGATGGAACCATACTGCTGAACTCTGAGTGGTCAAGTTGCATCGAGTTCATTTCCTATTTAAATACAGGTGATAAGTAAATGCCTAAGATTTAAAAAAGAAAAAAGGCAGGGAATTGCACAGGAAAGCAGTCAAGGGCATTTGCCAAACCAGAATTTAAAAGAACTTTGTACTTAAGAAGTTAGGACTCATCATGCAGATGATATTTCCAGGTAAGTTGTGATTTCCTTCCTGCTTTCCAAGCAGAATGCATTCTTTAGCCTTCTATGCAGGATTTCTGTACGCCACCCTTAGGACCGAGGAGAAGAGGACCAGAGGTCTCATGCTCAGCCTATCCCAACACAGGAATGCTTTCATTTCTATCGTATATTCTCACATTGTTTTCAAGAGCCTCAGCACATGCTGAGAGGCAAGCATAATTTCATTGTGTATAAATAATGCCCCCTGTTCATTGTAAGCATGCCGTGAGTTCTGTATTACTGCCAGTGCAGGCGTTGTTGGTGTCTATAGTGAAGAAAGATGAACAAGATGGATGGGGCAGGAAAAGAAAGAAAAAATAATCCCTTCAGTTCCTCTTGTCATTTGCTTTTTTGATTTGGACTTTAATTCCTAAACACTAGGTTTTCTGTATCATTAATAAGAGAAGGCTTTCTAGCTGTGTACCCTGTAACAGCCTCAGAAGGAAGATACTGCTGTCAGCTAAAACACGGCGGACCTGACCATTTGACTTAAAAGCACCACCTCACCAATGTCAATCAATGTTAATCAGAAGAATTCAGTCTAGTGGGTGGATCTCTGAGTCAATAATGTTCTTTGAAATACCCTGGATTTTGGTCATGATTATTCAAGTAAGAACTTCGTGTCACTTGGTAACGCACTGATGCTTGTCAATCTTGACAGGAACATAAAAGGAGGGATGAAAAAAATCTCAAAGAGAGATGACAATGGGGAAATAGAACAAAATATTTTTGCCTGCTGTTTTGTTCACCAGTGCCAGGTGCTCTCTAAAACTACACATGAACTTGAAGTGTGGGTAGCCAAAGTCATTTTCTTTCCTTCACAGCCATGAAACAAGACCCTAAAACTAGAGAACAAGTCTATTCCCACACATGTCCTAGAAAATGCATTTTGTCATCACTCTGGTACCTATCATCTCCTTTTTGTGTTCAGAGCCTTTTTTCTTCTTTTGACCCCTTCCCTAACAGCCCCCCCCGAAGCCCCATGATTTGTGCATCAGAGTGTGACAATTACATCCTCTGCAGTATATGCTCTGCTTTGCTGGATTGGGACATGTTTTCTACAGTAGAGAGAACAGGACAATCTGTGTCTTTATTTTTTACTAAGGACAGTGTGCCAGCCTGAAAGCTGACTCCATTTATTTCTCCTGCAGGGAGCCAGTGTGTTCCTTCTGGAAGATGCAGGTACTTAAAATAGTAATAGGCTTTGTGGTTTATAGAGTATTCCTTCCCAAGATCTCACAGGCATGAAGAATAACACATAAACTAATGACTCTTTCCAAT